TGGACTGAACATGATTGCCACTCAATGCCTCTTTTGCAGACCACAACACCCAAAAGGAGAGAGAGAACAAAAGGGAATACCCTGCCACAGAGGCAGGGTGGGATGGGGGAATGGGAGTGGGAGGAATACTGGGATCCATGGTGGTGGAAAATGGGCACTGTTGGAGGGATGGGTATTTAATCATTGTATAATTGAAACCCAAGCACAAAAATTTGTAAGTCTACAACTGTACCTCATGGTGTTTCACTAATAAAAATTAATTTTAAAAAATGGTGGGTCTGGTGTCAAAATATTGAATATGATCAAAGTAGAGAGAAAGTAATGTGGAAATCATATGCCCCACAGGTAGGGGGAGGATTGGGATGAGGGTATACTGAGATTGTTGGGGGTGGAAAATGGGCACTGGTGAAGGTACGGGTGTTTCATTGTATGACCAAGACTTAGACCCGGAAGCTTTGTAACTGCCTTCATGGTGATTCAATAAATAAAATTACAAAAAAATGAAAAAAAAAGTAAGGTGGAGTTCATGCCCAATTCAATCAGCTAATCAGTCGCTGAATAAATTGCAGTATTCCCACATAAAAAAAATGATTGTCAAAAAATCAGATGGGGGGCTGGAGCCATAGCGCAGCGGGTAGGGCGTTTGCCTTGCACGCAGCCAACATGGCCGACCCAGGTTCGATTCCCAGCATCCCATATGGTCCCCCAAGCACCGCCAGGAGTAATTCCTGAGTGCATGAGCCAGGAGTAACCCCTGAGCATCGCCGGGTGTGACCCAAAAAAAAGAAAAAAAAAAAAGAAACCAGATGGGTTATCTGTCAAGGCTATAGCAAAGTGTATTTGAGTTTTTATTGACAATTAGAAGATGAATGTATTAATGAGCATGTGAATTAGCCACTGACTCAGTTTTCTCATCTATAATGAATCTGTACCAAAGAGATTCTGTGTGACTTACATGAAATTCCCTATGGGTGAATCACCAACCATCTAAACACTGCTCAATATCATAAGTATCATCACATCACACATGCATATTCATATCATGCAAAAACAGACTCTAATAGGGATAAGAAGCTAAAAATTTTTCTTTAATTAGGGGAAAGTCCTGGATGGAAAAATAGGGAAAGAAGAAGGCAGGAAGAAGCATGGAACTCTAATGCAGGTCTAGCCCATGAAGAGGAAACAGAGTAGAGAAGGAAGTTAGGTAGCCACTATCTGATGATGATAAGAAAAGTTCAGCGAAGCAATGGCAAGTCCTAGGCGATTAGAAGAATCTGTGTCCTCCAGGGTTGCCTCTTTTAATGTCCTGGCCATTATCAGTCATAACTGACTGAGCACACTACACACAAACACAAACCCAGTGAAGGACACAAGAGCCACGGGCCAATTACACTCCTGCAAGGAACCAAAAAGCTTCTTTCACAGTGGCCTCCTCTACCAAGATTTTTTAGTGTATCCATGATAAATTGTGTCTTAGTAAATACAAGAAAATGGATTAAAGACTGCCAGAACTCTAAATTTATAGCTAAGTTTCAGCTAGATATTGAGGTATTGATGCTGGGTTAGAGGGTCTTTTCTAAATGAATCAGCAGTGTGGTCAAACCTTTTGCTGTTGGTATGCAAGCACAGTGGTAGGGCGTTTGCCTTGCATGCAGCCAATATGGCCAACCCGAGTTCGATTGCTCCACCCCTCTCGGAGAGCCCGGCAAGCTACCGAGAGTATCTCGCCCACACGGCAGAGCCTGGCAAGCTCCCCGTGACGTATTCGATATGCCAGACACAGTAACAACAAGTCTCACGATTGACACGTTACTGGGCCCGCTCGAGCAAATCGATGAACAACGGGAGGACTGTGATCACCGTGATCATGCAAAGAAACTATGGCATAGATGGGAAGAGAATTGAAAAGTCCCTTCAGGTAGTTTTTCCCTATCATATGGATGGACTTCAAAGGCATTAGCTGAGTTAAGTAAAACAAAGAAAGAATAATACTATATGATCTCGCTAGTTGTGAACTCTAAACACAAATAAAAACATAAAAAGAGATAAACTTGTTACCAAAACCAGATGGCATGATGAGAGAGAAACTGAAGAAAGGGTCAAAATTCATCAATGTCTAGTTATAAGGTCTAAGGGATGCATGATGACTATAGCTACCAATCCTGTATGATGTACAACAAAGTAAAAAGAAAAAATCTTAAAAGATCTTACCATAAAGAGCTTTTCCTTCTTCTCCCTTCCTTTTAATTCTATCTTTAGGAAAAAATGGATATTAACTGAATGATTTATTGTAATCAGCCAACAACATATTAATATATATTTAATCAAATTTCATTTTCTTTGCCTTAATCTGTATTGTGATTATTTCCATTATTTTACAATAAACCTGAAGTTAGAGAGAGAACATCTCTCACAAATTCTTGTAATATTTTGGAATCTGTTTGCATCCATGGGATTCTGCCAAATTACTGTAATTACTTAGGCATAAGTCTTCTTTCTTCAATTAAGCTATACTGCATTTATTTATTCAGCAAGCATTCTTTTTAACTGAGCACTTATATGTGCCAGGCATTGTTTATGGTAAGCTATCCATATCTTAATTTTCCAATAAGTCATGCAACTGACTCAACTTTTGTCCTCATATTGTTCATCACTAGGAAAGATTGAAATGCCTGATCATGTGAATCATGCACACGAGTAGAAGTCAGGCCACACTCATAGTAAATAAGTAAATAGATGATCTGCTAGGGAGTAATAAGTTCAAGGGGACAAAAAAAAACCAAGATGAGCGGATAGAGATAGCATTTTTTAGAATATGCTCAGGGTGATGACTAGGGAGACAGCTCCAGTGACAGAGCACATACCTAGGATTTGCGAGGCTTTGAGTTCGATCGTGGCCCCTGATCACCATTGGGCATGACCATAGTGGCTCTCAAGCATCAATGGACCTGCTCGCTCTATGATACGCATCAATAAAATAGTTAATCAGGCACAGAAACAGAGAATCAAATCAAACACTTGAAAATTAAACAGCTCACTACTGAACAACCAGTGACTAAAAGAGGAAATCGATCACAAGACCCCTGGAAACAAACAAGAATGAGGGCACAAGTCACCAGATCTTGTGGGACACAGCAAAAGCAGCATTAAGAGGAAAGTTTATAGTTCTACAAAAAATCATCAAGAAGAAAGGGCCCACATAAATAACGTCACAGCTTGATATCTTGGAAAGTAATCAAAAAAGGAGCCCAAATCAGGCAGGAGGATGGAAATAATAAAACTTAGAGCAGAAATTAATGAGCTAAAATTTTTTTAAAAATCCAAAAGATCAATGGACCCAAGAGCTGGTTGTTTGAGAAAATAAACAAGATAGATAAACCAGTAGCAAGATTCACAAAGAAAGAGAGGGAGAGAACTGTAATAAATGGAATCAGAAATGAAAGGGGGGTGGGGGACATCACAACAGAGACTATAAAATTTAACGGATCATTAGAGATTACTTTGAGAAACTTTATGCCATGAAATAAGAGATTCTTATAATCTCCCAAGCCCAAGACTTAATGAAGAAGATTTGGAATACCTGAACAGACCTATCACTATCGAGACATCAATAAGCATCAAAACAAGCAGAGCATAGAAACACAGAAGTATCAGGGCCACACCTCCAGGTCAAGCCCATCCAAGAGTGGCTCCAGGTTCCCTATCACACTAGTTATGGTTCCTATTTTAAAAAAAAAAATGGTCAGGGTGGAGAAGTCGACTACTCAACAGAATGCTTAGGGAGGAGTGCCAAAAGGAAGCTATCAGAGGGCACTTGTAGCACTGTAGCACTGTCCTCCAGTTGTTTATCGATTTGCTTGAGAGCGCACCAGTAACGTCTCACAACAAATTGTGAGATTTTTTGTTACTGTTTTTGGCATATCAAATACGTCACGGGTAGCTTGCCAGGCTTTGCCATGCAGGCGAGATACTTGCAGGGCTCTCCAAGAGGGGCAGAAGAATCGAACCCAGGTCAGCGGCGTGCAAGACAAACACCCTACCCGCAGAGGGCACTTATTACAAGTTAATGACCGAAAAACTCTAGCATGGTTCGTTGCATGGGTAAACACTCAGCAGATGTTTCCTGATTAAATAAAATTTAATTTTATTTAAAATTTTCCTGATTAAATAAAATTCAAAGACTCAGCTGAAGCCCAAGTAAATTAAGTATTAATCAAGAGTAATATATTTTAGGTACATCATGTTTCCAGCTGAGTATTAGAATTTCCTAGTCTTATCCCTAAAAATGTATAAATAATAGGGATGAACACAGTGGAGGCTATTAATAATTACAATTATCATTAAAAATAGAAAACAGAACAATATCTCTTCAACAAATTGATTTTACTGTTTGACCTCCAGTTATTTAAATTCCAGAGTCAGCATTAACCTTCTACAGGACCCTTAGTTACTAAGGACTGTTGGCCTTCACCTTTTGCCATTAAGTTTTACATACCATGATAAAAATTATTTTTCTCATTTTAGATTTAAATGACAAAACTAGATCAAATATGTACTTGAATCCACTTATTAATATATATTTACAACATACTTATAAACTGTTCATCAATTGAAAATTGCATTTTCAAACAACGAAGTTAACACAAATGTTTCCAATAAATTATTTCACACAGGTATGAATGCTTATGAATCTATTTAATTATTCAAGCTGTGCTAGAGAATACATATTTTGGAGTACGCATACACATTTCATTATATTTGGCTTACAACAGATTATTTCCAATGGGTATTTCTTACATCTCCTGTTTATCAAAAAAAAAAAATTTATCTAAGAAAGAAAAGTATGTAGCATTTGCTATCAAATTTATATTTTAAAACATTTTTCAAGTATGCATTGAATTATATCACTTTCAACTAAATGGTTTCATACATATTTGATATCACATTGTAAGTAATTTTTACAAATATTTTCAAAAGTTTCAATTATTATTTCTTGATGATTATAATTGACATGTTTACATTTATAAATTTTCTCTACACAGTGATGCTTTTTAAAAATGAAATAAAATGTGCAAAAGCTTTGGTTCTCCAAGGCAAAGTCAAAAAGAGAGGGATGACTTAACCAAACTTCCTGTTTTACTCTGACTTTTATTTTGTCTATTTTTTTAATTATTCCTTTTTCATTTTACTGCTAGAAATTTTTTTCTTCAGGACAGACACTTAGGTAAGGATGATAACAGAGATTTCAATATTTATAACATGAGCTTACAATTGAGAAGTAATTATCTAGTTAAAATAAAATGTCACTCTTTCAGTTATGGGCTGGGATAGTTTTTTAATTGTCAAAAAAAAATCACGGTTTCAAATGGATTAGTAACAAATGCATGAGATCTAAATGGAGGGCCTTTCAAAATAAATGTGCAGTTAGCAATGACTTAATAATAATAATCAGGATAGCAGGAATCTGGGGTCAATGCTACTTCCACCACAGTGCTCTTATCACCAAAGGTAATTGGGACCCTATTGGTGTAGCACTTGTTTCTGTCATAAGTGTAGCAAGTTTCATTATCTTCACACAGATTGCTCTGGGAGGAAGTAACTACTTTGTTATCCAGCTCCACTTCGATAGGATCACATTTTTTACACCTGAAAAGCAAAGAGATCCATCAAAACATGTCTCAAAATCTGAATAACTACACATTTCCATGCAAAATCAATCATTTCTTGCAACTCTGAGCTAACTTCAATTGCTCTACAGTAGTGAAGAACCTAATGTAAATTAGTAGTGAAGAACCTAATACAAATACAGTAGTGAAGAACTCAATGTAAATTATTGAAAGAATGGCTGTAGAATTATATATGTGGCTATAGAATTATAGCTCCTTACTATCATCATTTGGACTATATCATATAATTTTTATTCTTATGTTTATTCTCATTTGCCAAGGTGTCGAAAATCAGATGGGCTGGTCACGTAATGAGATTTAAAGACGACCGTTGGACTAGAGCTGTTACTGATTGGATTCCACGGGATGTCAAGAGACCGCGTGGCCGCCCACCTACCAGATGGTCAGACTTCTTTGTCAAGGTCATGAACGATCGGTTTGAGGCCCTCCATGTTCCCGGAGTGAAGAGATGCCATTGGGCTACACTAGCACGCGACAGGGACAAATGGAGACGTTACTGGCGCCCGCTCGAGCAAATCGACGACTAACGGGAAGTTAAGTGATTAAGTGATTAAGTGATGTTTATTCCCAACTGTATATCAGAATTAAAGAAGTTACTTATAGTGTTACCTTTTGTAGTTTGGTACAGGGTTTTGGAGTTTCCAAAGAATTATCTGCATATTAATAAGTCTGAAATCCAATTATTGGACTATTTGGACAAATTAGTACTTTTTGTATTTGATGACAATGATTTCTTCTCTAGAATAAAATTTTTTAATTTGGCTTGGGGCCACAACGGACCTACTCCTGGCTCTGTGCTCAGGGATTACTTCTGGCTAGACTCGGGGGGACTATATGAAAGTACCAGAAATAAAACCCGGATTGGTCACATGCAAGGTAAGCACCCTACTTGCTGTACTATCTTTCTGGCACCTAGAATAAACTTACAGGAAAATTTTATCTGCAAATATAATAATTGGTTAGTCAAAGTCAGATACATTGGTAAACATTTATGTGTCAACCTATTGAGAAAAACATTCTTACAAATAAGTTTACTTATTATCAATTACTCTCAACAACTCCTGTTAGATTTGTTTTAGTAACAAGAAATATCTCTTACAGGTCGGCCAAATGGTACACAAATTCGGTTCTCATTGGAGAGGAAGGATCTGTAATATTCTCCCTGTTCCCCACAGGAACACTGAAAAAGAAAGTAAAGCAAAATAATGAAACCAGCAAACATTTTAATATTAGTGCTAACAGATATATTATAGGACAGTATCTACCATTTAACTTGGACTTTTAAATTTAGCAAGATATAATAATATTTGACTCATATTTCACAGTAATAAAATTTTGTTTTGGTTTGGGGACCAAAGTGATGTTGCTTAAAGTTTACCTGGCTCTTTGCTCAAGGATTTCTCCTGCAAGGAACTGGGGGGATCATATGTGATGCTGGGAATTGAATCCCTGTTGGCTGCTTTCAAGGGAAGGCACCTTATTCACTGTGCAGTATCTCCAGCCCTCAATAAATTTCACACATTTCTACTCAAAATGGGCCTCCCAGTTATTGATACACTGGTTGTGGAGGTGGTGAAATACCATTGCAAGTACAATAATATGCAAACTTTGTGTGTGTATATATATATAGAAAAGCCCTGGGTTTCATCACATGCATTGAAAATAAATTTTAAAATACATTTAAAAATAAAAACATGCCCAGATTAGAGAAATAGTTTAGCACATAGGGTACTTGCCTTGTAGGCCAACCTAGTTCAACCCCCAGCATACCATATGTCCCTGACCCTCACCAGGAGAGATCCCTGGGCTCAGAGCATGGTGTAAACCCTGAGCATCACTAGGTAGACAAAAAATAACAGTAATAGTAAAAGTAGTCTCCTGAGGGGGGAAAAAAAAAGCATGTTATGTAAAGATAGGCATTTCTTAGCTTGAGAGATGACACAGAAGTCTGGAAAGAATGCCCTTCATGCAGGAGTTCTGAATTCAATCCTAGTACAGCATAGACAACCAAGCAAGACCAGGAGTGACCCCAAAGCACAGAGCCAGGAGTAGACCCTAAGTCCCACCAGGTGCACCCCTTCCCCTTAAAAAATCACATCAAAGGGCTGGAATGATAGCACAGTGGGTAAGGCATTTGCCTTGCACGAGGTCAACCCAGGTTCAATTCTCAGCAACCCATATGGTACCCAAGCAGCTCCAGGAGTAATACCTGAATGCATGAACCAGGAGTAATCCCTGTGCATCGCCAGGTGTGACTCAAAAAGAAAAAAAAAATCAAGTGGAGGCCGGAGTGTTAGTGCAGTGTGTAGGGCATTTGCCTTGCATGCGGCCAACCCAGGTTCCATCCATGGCATCCCATATGATCTCCGGAGCTTCACCAGGAGTAATTTCTGAGTGCAGAGTCAGGAGTAACCCCTGAGCATTGGCAGGTCTCACCCCCAAAAGCAAAAAATAAGCATCAAGTGTAAAAATAAGTAAGTTTTAAAAAAAAAGAAAGACACACCAGGTGGAGGTTGTGCGTGGGCACTTTGTGGAGGACGGGGTGTAGTAATTTTGTATACAGAAACCATAAACTTCAACCCTATTGTATCTACCTAAATTATAATAAATAAAACGAAATGATAAAATTTTCAACTCCTTTTCAATGTGAGTTAGGTGCCAATGCCATAAATGCCATCCCTTCAGGTTATAATTATCCAATTATCCAATTATCCAATGATCTATTTCTAATAGGGACTATACGGTGTGAAGACTGAGTGGTCAAGGAAAACCTGCTAGTGGAAATGCTGTGGAAGCTAAGATATGCACGCTGCAGAGGAGTTAAGTGGGTGGAGAGAGGCAAAAAAAAAAAAGAGTTTTTCAGGCACAACTAACATATGCACAAACAAAAGAACAAAAAAAATTGCGAATATGAGAAAGTAAAGGTACCATAATGTGGTTGGATTTTTCAACATGAAGTTTAAAAAAAAAATGAGGTGAAAAAAAGGAGTAGCACTGGAAGAGCTTAAACGCATGCTGATTATTCTGCATTAAGCTGAAGTGTTTGTAATTTAGCTCCAAAACAATGTTAAAAGGATTGTTTTAACAAAGAAGTTTAGAAGGACGTTAAAACAATGTGGGTTTATTTTTTGTTGTTTTGGTTTTTGCTGATGTTGTTTTTGTTTAGTTTAGTTTTGTTTTTGTTTTTGTTTTTTGCATCACATCCAGCAACGCTCAGGGGTTACTCCTGGCTCTGCACTCAGAAATTACTCCTGGTAGTGCTTGGGAGACCATATGGAATGACCAGGATTGAACCCAGTCAGTGGAGTGCAAGGCAAATGCCCTACCCCCTGTACTATCGCTCTGCCCCCTATGAAAACAATGTGAAGAAAAAGTGGGACACAGTAATAATTTGCACAAGATAAATATGATTAGGTGAATGAATCAATAACAGCAAATATGGGGGTGAGGGTTGAGGGAGGTTGTTTCAGAGTGCTTTTGCTTGTTTCGGGAGTGTTGCAGACCACAATGAGCAGTGGCCAGGGGCTATTTCCGACTTTGCTTAAGGACCACATGGACTCAGTCGGATTCACGGTAATATCTCTCAAGCCCCTAAATACCCCCAATGTTTTTTGAAAATGTGCTTAGCACAGTCTATGAAAGGAATATTCAGTTTCTAATAGTAATAGATCTTCTCAATTTCAGCTTATAATAACCCTCAGAGATCCATCCTATTTTCCCCTTATTTAAAGATGAAAAAACTGAATGAAGAAGTAATTTGCATACCAAAACACAGTTCTTAAATAAGGCAAACCTGAAACAGTCTGATAAAATAGTAATCGGTGCTATATTCCCTTTCAGTAAGAGGTACTTGATTTAAGAACACTACTAAAGGTTAGAGTAGTTTATAAAGAAGACTTATTATTGATTATAGATCCAAAAGGAATTTCATTCTTAAGTATTGACAATTTAAATCTTAAGAATTTCATAGTTTATAACTCTAAATTACTACTAAACTATCAAATAAAATGAACATTTGAAGTCCAACCTACAAGTGAGGTTAAATCAAATTACCCAGTTAGAACTGTATACCTTACATTTATGCATAAATTTGAATAATCAAACATTCTATACATCATATTTGGTTCAAAATAAGACTTTCAATGTTCACTTCAAGTTTGATTTTGAACTATCAAAGACAACTGAATGTTCTGATTCAAAGTGAAAGAACAACAACCTTCATGTACACAAAGAACATTGATGACTCGATAAAAATCTTGTGTCATGATTTGATATCTCTGACTGGTTTTAGATCGCTTGGAAATCTTTGCTCCTAGTCCTAGTTTCTACATAATTAGCTCCTACCATTAACCAGACTGAACTTCATGTCAGGTACTACTTATTAAAAAGAAGAATAAAAAAACAAGCACAACATTCAAACAATGGCTACTACCAGAAACTGACTTCACTTTTAATATGACACAAAGGAAATATAAAAGGCCACATACATAATTCTGATGCTTCTCTCCACAATCTCTTCACTAGGATTATGAGGATTTGGGATGATCCTGGAAGTTATCCGAGTACACTGACATTTGTTGTCCGCAAGAACAACACTTTCATCTTCATCTTGGGCTTGAAAAATAGAACATTAAGAACAAAAGAAAACATATATACTTATACATTTTACCTGGAGTTACTTTTTTTTTCGGGGGGGGATCACACCCTGCGATGTACAGGGGTTTCTCCTGGCTCATGCACTCAGGAATGACTGCTTGAGGTGCTCGTGGGACCATATGGGATGCTGGAAATCGAACCCAGATTGGCTGCGTGCAAGGCAAATGCCCTGCTCGCTGTGCTATTGCTCCAGCCCCTGGAGTTACTTCTTCCCTTGCAGAAAAATTAAGTCTCATGACTGATCTGTTTCAGCCTTCTCTATTATTTTTTCCACTTAAAAATAATTCTATTATTTTTTCTACTTAAAGTAGTTAAGTAGACACTCACATAATAATGAAAAAAAATACAAATGAGCTATGAAATAAAATTTTTGTTTGTTTTTCTTCAGATTGATCCTGAGCTAACAGAATCCTGCTTTTCATCAAGTGTTTTCAATCAAGGAACAGCTCTTCACTAATGCACTGTTGTAGCACAATCCTCCTGCTGTTCATTGATTTGCTCCAGCGGGCACCAGTAACGTCTCCATTGTGAGACTTATTACTGTGTTTGGCATATCCAGTACTCCCAGGGGAGCTTGCCAGGCTCTGCCCTGAGGGCGGGCAGGATACTCTAGGTAGCTTGCTGGGCTCTCCAAGAGGGATGGAGAAATCGAACCCTGGTCCACCATGTGCAAGGCAAACGCCCTACCCGCTGTGCTATCGCTCCAGCCCCTGCTTCCTTTTTTTTTTTTCTTTAAAGAGTTTAACCCAGGACCTTATGCGTACAAGGTGCTTCCTCAACCATTGAGCCATATCCCAAGCCACTTGTTATTATTTCCTTTAAGAAGTTGGCCAGGATTCAATCCAGTCAGAATATTAAATCGATCCGGGCACCACATGGGCCCCAAGTGTCACTGGGCGCAGCCTAGAAGCCTCCAGTCCCACCGGGTGGCCTGAGCATCATTGGTACTACAAGGCCAGAGAAGCACTGCATCCGCAGGCTCATACTGAACCACCAGCATAGTGGGCCAAAAATCTGGTGAGGTTCACATGAGGCCCCTGGACTCCTGAGCCCTATTGAAAGTCCCCTCCCCATAGGAAAAAAGGTTTTCTTATAGACTTGAAAGACAGCTCAAAGGACTGAGCAGCGCATGCTCCGCATGCAGGAACCCTGGGTTTGATCCCTGCCATTGCATCATCCCCATACTGCCAGCAGAGACTCCTGGGGACAGAACAGGGAGTAGCCTCCAAGAACTGCTGGGTGTGACCCAAAGCAAACAAAATATGTTATTTTTACACACCCCACCCCTCCCCAAGCACCTCCAGGTGTCTCCGTGGTGATTCCCCAACATTGAACCACACAGCTATTTGGCAAGTGTGGCTGGAAGTGGCATTGGGGCCCCTGAAGCACTTCGGGGGAGCCCTAAATTCCCCCAAAAGAATTCTCTTTTTAATAGGACATATACAGATATAAAGGGCTACAAAAAAAATTTTTTTTTTTGCTTTTTGGGTCACACCTGGTGATGCACAAGGGTTACTCCTGGCCCTGCACTCAGGAATTATTCCTGGCAGTGCTCAGGGGACTATATGGGATGCTGGGAATCGAACCCATCAGCCACGTGCAAGGCAAATGCCCTACCCGCTGTGCTATTGCTCCAGCCCCACGGCTACAAACTTTCAATACCACTTTGAAAATACTGTGAGGTACAAGCATTATTTAATATGTCTGTCTATGGAGGAAAATAATAAACTATACAATAAATATAATGACTACCGAATGTAACCTGCCCACACAGCAGAGTCTGGCAAACTCCCCGTGGTGTACCCAATATGCCCAATACCAGTAACAATGATGGATCTCATTCTCCTAACCTTGAAAGAGCCTTGAATATGGCACTTTTTAAAATCTCAGAGCTAGGGGCTGGAGCAATAGTACAGCTGGTAGGGCTTTTGCCTTGCAAGTGGCATACTCGGGTTCAATTCCCAGCATCCCATATGGTCCCCTGAGTACCGCCAGGGGAGATTCCTGAGTGCAGAGCCAGGAGTAACCCCTGTCCATCGCTGGTGTGACCCCCCCACAAAAAAAAAGGCAAAAAAAAACACCTAGAAAAAAATTAAAAAATAAATTAAATAAATAAAAAAATATCTCAGGGCTAGGGTGAAGGAGACGTTACTGGTGCCTGCTCGAGGCAATCGATGAACAACAGGATGATAGTGATTGATTGTGGTGAAAACTTAACTTTATTAACGCTCTTAAAAATTCATCACCTTAGAATGTGTGACTGGCCTCTAAGCCATGGAGCAAAACTCCTTGTACTAATCTCAGCTACTCTTGGGTGTTAGTCTCCTATTTTGCTACTTTATGTTCCCCAGATGAATGCAATCTTTCTATGTCTATCCCTCTCTTTCTGACTCATTTCACTTAACATGATACTTTCCATGTAATACCACTTGTACCTCATGGTGTTTCACTAATAAAAAATTTTTTTAAAAAATTCATCACCCAAGACTTGTACAATATAGTTTTAGAGATAGTGGAAATATGTCACATATGATAAAATGCCATTATGCTATTTAGAAAACAAAGACCATTTTCACCTTCTTTTTAAAAAGCTTCAACTCTCTAATATGAAATTGAACAAAGGGTTAGCAAGTATTTTAAAGAACACACAAAGACTATTTATTATTATCTAATTTTAGGTCAGTTAATAAACATTTAATTAATAATGATTTTACTTGTTCTAATTAAAATAATGATGTCAGGTATATTTATTTCTATAATTTTGTGATATTAAAATGTTTTAAATAAATTACCTCAAAGTCCAAACAGGAAAAAAAACAGCAACAACAAAGATTGAGCACATGATTTCAAGTCCTAACGGTTAAATAATCAGGATAGACATCATTGTAACTGGGTGTCTAATTATTCCAGAGATGATCCCAGAGCAGACAGGACCTAATTGCAGTATTTCCATCCTAATGGTAACAGCAATTACAAAACCATTTTACGCTCATTATTATTGTACTTATAATTGTTTGGAGTACTGTATAATGCATTATTGTCCCATTTTCTGTAACTACTTAATAACTTCTGATAAAAGTCTATGTAATTGGAGATGAAACATTATGAAGTCAGTTCAAGAAAATGATTTCCTTTTTTAATGTTTTGAAAAGAATAAGATGGCTTAAATGGTGTTCTCTATCCTACTGCTGAATTCATGACTTTTTAATGTTTTTCACCAAAAATAAAAATACAGATAGACTTGTAACGTTTGACTAAAAATACAGATTGAATTGAGGACAGGAGTTGACTACTAAGTTTTAAATACAAAATGTCCAGATTTCAGTATGGCATATAATTTATTTCCATACTAGCAACTAAAGGACAAAAATAGCACTGGTATTATTGTTTTAAAACATTAGATAGCCTAATATACTTACCAGAAATGTACAGATACATTTATCAAGACTTAAGTAGAATCCTGATATTCCCTCTGACTGCCAGGCAGTATTTTTTCCTAATTTATCTATTACAGAAAATTGTGCTTTACTTTATTCCAAAAGCACCTGAGAGATAGTAGGTGTACTATGAGTATTTGTTAAACTTTCATTTAATTCCATTCAAACGATAAGAAAAGTAGGGATGAAAAGATAGTACAACCGGTAGGTCACTTGCCTTTGGACACAGCAGATCCAGATTTGAACCATGACATTACATATGATCACCTAAACAAGGCCAAGGCCAAGAGTAATCCCTGAGCACAGAACCAGGAGTAAGCTCTGACCACAATTGGGTGTGGTCCATAAGCAAGAAAGGGAAAGCAGAAAGGAAGGGAAGGAGGACAAGGAGAGAAGGAAGAAGGAAGGGAGAGAGAGAAGGAATAACTGCATACTGGATTAAGTGCTTTACTTTATTCTATAAAGTAACATAATAAATTTACTAAAAAGTAATTAGAATTAGATAACATACAATTAGAATAAGATGGTCATTTGGAATAGTAAGTATGGATTAGATTACCTAGTTATCCTTTCCATACTCTTGCATGTGACTTTAGGTAAGTTCTAACAACTCTCTAAATCTAAATGGGACCAACAATATGTTAGAAATAATAACAGTACTTATCTTCAAGTGATTATTGTAAGAATTAAGTACAATAATGTATGTAAAGTACTTAGCATAATGCCTAGAACACACATAAAATGTGCTAAGTAAGTTATAACTTTAATCTATTTCTAGATATATAGATGTTTTATATGTTTATTGGTATGTAAATATGTTAGTAAGCATATTTATCTATATATTAATATACAGTTAATGTTTAATATTATATCCTAAATAGTATTACAAATTCATTATCCCTAATCTAAATGAGTACAAAATATGTTGAATGGCTTCTTAATTACATTATTCTGAATTACATATCTTATTTTGTCTTGAAATAAAAACAGTAAGTCCTGTGTTAAAAGCAATCTATCCATATTATACCTCTTTTCAATGAAGTAAATAGTCTTATTTAGGAAACAAAAGAGAGAGGGAGAGAAAGAGTGTCCCATAAAGTAAAACATAACCCCAAGTTGGCAATTCTGGATTGGAGTGCACCATGCCTTTAACTCATATTCCCTCCTATCTAGATGAAAATTATTAGTACTGCACTACTGTATGTATAATGCATGTCTTTTCATGTAGTTAATTGAAAGGCCAATAGCCAAGATAACCAAAGTTCAAGCAAGTTATAAGCAATACCAAAAACATTAAACATTGTCTAAGAGTCGTAAAATGGGGCTGGAAATATAGCACAGTGGGTAGTCTATTTGCCTTGTTCATGGCCAACCCAAGTTCAATCCCAAGCACCCCATATGGTCCCCCGAGTCTGCCAGAAGTGATCCCTGAGCACAGAGCCAGAAGTAAGCCCTGAGCACTGCTGGTTGTGATCCAAAAATAAAAATCGTCATAATTCAGGTGCCATGTATTCTAGAAGATTTTAAAATTAATACCAGAGATCAGAGTGATAGTTCAGTGAATAGGGCTCTTGCCTTGCAGTCAGTCAACCCAAATTCGATCCCTGATTCCCCATATCCCTGATGCCCCTAGGCCCTACCAGGACTGATCTCTGAGCACAGGAATAAGCCCAAAGCACCACCAAGTGTGCCCCCACACCAAAAAAAAAAAAAAAAACTTTCAAAAAAATGAAACATCCTAGCAGCAATCACTCTGGAGAATAAAAGCACAATTTTGGAACTAGAGCACTAGTACAGCAGGTAGGGCATTTGCCTGCCACGCGGCCAACCCAGAGTCCATCCCCAACATCCCATATAGTCCCCCAAGCACTGCCAGAGGTGATTCCTGAGAGCAGAGCCAGGAGTAACCCCTGAGCATCGTCAGGTGGATCCAAAAATCAAATAATAATAATAATAAAATCACAATATTTCTACATTGCAATTATAGTAAATATTGTCTCACTTACTTGGAAAATTAATTTAAGAGCCTCAAGAAGATTACTTATACGTATAGCTGTCTATATTCATCCAATTGTATCTACTTTCTTATTCTCTTTTTCTTATTCTTTTATTTGCAATAGGCAAATAAAAGAAAGAGGGAAAAAATAATTGTATTAAATCTTATTCTGTATAAATATCATTGCCCATATAAAGGACAGAAAAAGTATCCAGATAACTGGCCCAGTAAAGCACAAACAGATGTTTAAATCTGAAACACAGATCTATTAGATTTTTTTTCTTTTATCTAAATTCATTTTCAAAATACCACATACCTGTCACAAGAACAGCCTTAGCAAAAATGGCCAACACACCCCAGAAAAGCAAATAGCTCTTCATCTTGACTTCGCTTCTCTTGAAAAACTCAAGCTAAGAAGTCAGGGTTAAGGTGAGTGGTCTATAAGGGGTGTGCAAATGACGGTGCTTCTGCTTTCTTAAAATAACACGTCAGGCGGCTAACAAACTAAGAAACGATCAGACTGCGGTTGAGGTCTGAAATTTAAATGCTACACTGAAAAGAAGTGTAGCATTTCTGCGTTTTTATCCCAAGCATTCCACAGGAGCACAGCTTTGTGACATTGTCTTTTTTGTTTACGTTTCCGCTATACAATTAATCCAGTGTAAATAGGTGCTCTCAACTTTATTACCTGAGTAGATTCATTATCAGTTATAAAGTTAATTATATCACATGTATTGTGCCTGGAACAGTAAATGAAGAAAGGAGAAGGGAAAGGACAAATTAAAGATCTTACAGCCTGATTATACTTTATGTAATTTTCCTCTTTATTATTTTTATTATCCAGTAAAGGATTTTATTTAAGAGAATAGAAGGGAAAAGGGAAGAAGCTTCTCAAATCATGAGAGGATGTTTCCTAGGCAGAATTCCCTTCTGCAAATTTTTCTTCTATATTTAATCACTATTATCAGATTTAAATATATGTACTACATATGACATATGCAATTATACATAATCTGATTATTTATAATCAGGCTTCCACATATGCCATATACTCAAATATTTAATTAGAATTAGAGGCAAGTAGATATTAGATGTATCTTTTGTCACAACAATAAGGCAGACTATTTTTTCAGTTAGTAACATCTTTCAGAATTAAAGCCAATAAAATGATTTCCTTTTAAAATGTTTCAATAGAAGAATAAATCGCTGCGGAATTTCTTGTAATTTTTTTCATTAATGAGGGTCACAGTTTTTAAAAAAGCAAAAAAATACCCAACATGATAGAATTTTCTTTCTAAGTAGACAGAATTAGTTATAACAACATGTTGGTTGTGTTTATATGCAACAACATCAAATCTATGGTACTTTGGTTCTCCATTCTCAATTTTAGTCTCCTGGAATTTTGAGAAGAAAAATATCTCAGAACCATAAGTAAACAGTGATGTTTACTTAAAAAATAAGCAGCTGATTTTATAGCTAACAGCAGGGGAAAAAAGAATGAACAAGCTAACAGCTAATGTGTACTCCTTTAATCAATACATATTGATTGTCTAGCAGGAGCAAAGTACCAGGTATTAGAACAAATGTTACTATACTAATCAAACTTTCCTCTCATTTTAATCTGTGTCATAGGTCTTAGAAATGACTTCTGTTCAGAAAAATGTACTGGATTCACCTGAACATTTATATCTATTGGAAAGCAGAAAACAACCGAAAGCAGGGTATTTTAGTGTGTGGTCAGGAGGTCAAAACAACTAACTACTACTTTAAAAGAACCTAGTACCTCATGGTTTCTAAATAATCAATTCAAATTATCACTCTGAAAAAAAATAATCAGAAGCTAGCTGTTGGATACTTTTTATTTTAGTCATAATTTCCTTGAAAATAAACTCAAGGCTAGATTGTCTCCTTGAAAGTAAGTTGGATAAGTCCTTGGGGAAAAAATTAAAATTTAAATTAAAGTTAGAAAAGCTAATTTCTAATAAAAGCAGAATGATCTGATTCATAATTATTAAACTAAACAAAAGCTTTATAATTGGAGTTTCTATAATTTCAGTTAACCATTTTGCATTTACCTAGAGCATTTGCATAAGGCAACTAAAATAAGTTATTCTAATAAAAATAAGGTGTGGAGATCCAAGGGGCACATTTGTTACCAAATAAAGAGTCAATACCTACAATTTAGTATCAAAGAACAATGTTTTGTCAAGTGGGGTTGGGATTCATCTTATTGTGTGTGGGGGGGGGGGGGGGCACTTGACTTGCATGTAGCCAATTCTAGTTTAATCCCTAACACCATATATGGTTCCTCAGCCCCTCAGGTTTGATCCCTGAGTGTAGAGCCAGCAGTCAGCCTTGAGCAGCGCAGTGTGTGGCCCCAAAATAAGACAAAGCAAAACAAAAAATATTTATGTTTTAATAGCACTTTCCTTGTCTAACTCCACTACTATTTGGAAAGTTCTCAGGATTAAGTTCATTCTCGTCACTAACATTGTATCTTGTGATCCAGCTTTCCTATTTGTCAGGCTTCATCTTCTACCTTTCTCTTAACTCATCAATACCCATTTGTAATCCTGGTCACTCATTTATGCTTCCTGTCCCTGATTCAGATTCCCCCTCCCCCCCACAAACACACACGGCTATTACCTGAAATGAACTTCCATTCCTCCTTCACTTACCTAGTCACCTACCTAATACTCTTTTCTTTTTAATTTTATTTTCATAAAGCTGTTCACAATAATTTGTTACATTCAATATTCCAACACCAATCCCACCACCATTCCGCCTTCTCACCACCATTATTTTGAATTTTCTCAACCACCATCCAAGGCTGCCCTAATAGCAATCCTAAATTATTTATTTTGTACTGCTTAATATAAATAATCCACTAAAAATGATCCAAAAAAGTTTCCTTAGAAGAAAGTGTGTGAAGATTGTTACACCTCACCCTGTAGCCATTAAGCTGTTATAGAAGAGATTACTAATATGTTATTACAGGTTGAGCCTAGTGTGATAATATATTTTTTATTAAGATGGGTTACCTTCTACGTTACATCCCATTCAAGGTGGTTTGCTACTCCTGGTACATCAGTGTTGTAGAGTATGAAATGTCACATTCATGGCCCTGTGCTTCAGGAATTCTACAATTTTAACTAGGGTGATACAGCTGGAGTTAAATTTTTAACTGGATGATGACTTTGGGGTCCAGAGGCATCTCTGCAGCTTGTTGCTCTCTTCTGAGATTTATTTGTGAGTCTCTGGATCATGGCTGTTAATGAGCTGATCTGGCGCCAGAGGCAGTTTCACGGGTATGACTGTCAGGCTGCTGGAAGAACAGGGAAATGGGGGGAGGTCGCCCATTTCCAACTTTGTGAGAGCCTGGAGATTTCAACCACAAAACCCACATACCTACCTGAGTTTTTCAGCAGATTCACTCATGAATGAGACTCATTCCGAGCCTGTGGAGATCAGTCATGAGCATGGCGGTAATAGGGTTCTGGAGGTTTTGAACTGCAGGGGCACTGTTTGGCTGGGCAGTGGGCTCACCCATCCTGCTCCGGGGTGTCCCAGATAAGACTCAGCCTGGCATGGAGTCTGGAGATATCTCTCCCTAATATTCTTTCTATATTGTGATTATGGTTTTTGGGTTTGAATAGCATTATTGCTCAGGAACTACTTCTAATTCTGTGCTCAAGGATCAATCTTGGCAGGGCTTTGGAAGATCATTTGTGGTGCTGGGGATTGGACCTTCATTGTCTACATGCAACTCAAGTACTTTTTTAAATTTAATCACCATGAAATAAGAATTAAAAAGCTGTCCATGATTGGGTTTCAATCATACAATGTTCCAACACCCATCCTTCTACCAGTGTCATTTCCCAGCACAAATATCCCCAGTTTCCCTCCTATCCTCACTCTTCTCTCATTTTAGGCATTATGGTTTGCAAAGCAGATGCTGAAAGGTTATCATGTACATCCCCTTACCTATTTTCAACACTCAGTTCTTGTCCAGAGCTATAACTTCCAACTATTGTTGTCATACTTTTGACCCTCCTCTATCTTAACTATCCTCCAATACACACACACTTGTGGTAATTTCCAACCATTGACCAGTCCTCCTGGCCCCTGTTTCCTCTGGCCTTGGATAATAGTCTCATCCTACAAATGAATGCAGTCATTCTATATATGTTCCTCTCCTTCTGACTCATTTCACTCAGCCTGACACTCTCCATGCCCATCCATTTATAGGCAAATTTCATGGCTTTACTTTTCCTAACCACTTTGTAGTATTCCATTGTGTAGATATATCACAGTTTCTTTATCTAGTTGTCTGTTCTCTGGAACTCAATAGATTCTGGCTATTGTGAATAGTGCTGCAATGAACATAAAAGTGCAGATGGTGTTTCTGCTGTGTGTGTTTTGACCCTCGGGATATATTCCCAGAAGTGGTGTAGCTGGTCAAGTGAGAGCTGTTTCTATGTTTTTGAGGAATGTCCATATTGTTTTCCAAAAAACAGGCTGAATCAGTTGGCATTCCCACTAGCAATGAATGAGAGTCCCTTTCTCCCAGGATTCATCTTCTATAGAGTCACTAGTGAGCACTAGTGAGCATACAGATTCTCTTGCTATACTCAATCAGAATTTCTAGGTATGTAGTTTTGGAGTGTATAATTTTGGGGGTGGGAAGAACTACCATTACTTAATGTAACCCCAATGGGAAAAAATGGCCAGTGATTCTCAATGGGGCTACTTATTTGACACTAGGGCCCATGATTGTTGTTCTGAGACCATCAGGAGCAAGATGGTGGTGCTCAGGCATCCAGATCTATACCTGGAGATGCTGTGGGACATATGATACTGGGAATTGAATATAGGATAGCTATGTACAAGACATGTGCCTCAATCCCTATATTATCTCCTTGAACCTTAAATCTGTATTTTATATGGGCCATACCCAGCAATGCTGTGGACCAAAGGAGAATGAAGAAGAGGGCATACAGCACCATGGGCTTATTGTCAAAACCTGGCAGTTGTAAAACATGTACCACTACTAATTGAACCATTATTCCTAACCTTGGAACATGTGATTTTAAAAGCATTCCAGTTGATTCTGAATAATACAATTTGAAAACTGGTAGAATAACTGATATTAGTAACTATTTGTGGAAGATGATCAGGAAGATAATAAAAATAATAAAAGTTTATTTTAAATCGCCACATTCCACAATACAACACTTCAGTAGGAGCACAGCAAATTAGATCGTACAATAGTATAGAAGCCCAATAAGCTCACTAAGAGAAAACAATAATACAGAAGACTCAATTAGCAACAAAGAGCTCAATAAATCCTCGGAAAATGACTTTAATAGCACTACTGTGAAAGATAGAAATTCTCATATTTC